GAGCTGATGAAGGTCCGCTCTAACGCGCACCTGCAGAACAGCGCGGGAGTTCAAGTGCAAGAAAAGGAAGCTCTGACTTACCTCGGCACCCAGCTCGCGGCGGACGGACGATGCGGATCTGAGCTGAACAGGAGAATCGGCATGGCCAAACAAGATTTCAAAGCATTGAAATCGGTGTGGTCACATTCTTCGTTGAGCAGAGCGAGACAAGTAGCAATCTTCAACGCGCGCATTGTCGCCAAACTTGTGTACAGTCTATTTGCAGCATGTCTTAATCAGGCACGCTGCTTGAGATCTATATTTCGGGTCCCATCTTCTTATATCAGTCGCGTGTCGAACAGCGCCGTGCTAGGCCTGGCCAGTGAACGGCCGCTCAGCGAGCTCATCGTCAAACGACAAATGACTTTCTTTGGGCAGCTCGCTAGACGCGCGGGCAACGATCCAGTGAGACAGTCGGTATTTGAACCAGGCAGCCTAACTCTCAAGCAGCCGACAGGTCCCCGGAAGAGAAGGCGACCCCGGCAAACGTGGGGAAGAATGGTCATGAACAGTTGTTTGGACGTTGCTGGCACCCCTGCCCGTCTTGCTGACTACTTCCGCCCGGAGGGCGGTGCAGCACCGGCATGGGAGTCAGCTGTCCGCGCATGGCACGTTTGATCTCTGTGCTGTAGCATACTCTCTTGCTTGCGCACCGTCTGGTGAAAGGCGACCTGACTGACTGACTGTCGACGGCGTCGTTGGCGTCATCGGCGTCTTCCGCAGCGTCGTCATCATCGTCGGCAGCAGCGTCGTTGGCAGCGATGTCGTCGTCGTGTTCGTCGTCGGCAGGGTTGTCGTCGTCCGCACCGTCGTCGTCGCCATCGGCAGCGTCGTCGTCGTCATCGTCGACATCGTCGTCGCCGTCATCGGCAGAGTAGTCGACCCCAGCGTCGTCGTCGTCGTCGACAGTGTCGTCGTCGTCGGTAAAGTCGTCGTCGTCGGCAGCGTCGTCGGCGTGGGCAAAGCCGTCGTCGTCGTCGCTGGCGTCGTCGGCGTCGTCGCCATCGTCGTCGTCGTCGGCACCGTCGTTGTCGTCGGCAGCATCGTCGTCGTCATCGGCAGCGTCGTCATCGGCGTTGCCGTGCCGCCGTCGCCAGCGTCGCCGTCGGCAGCGTCGTCATCGTCGTCGTCAATGCCGTCGTCGGCAGCGTCGGCGGCGGCGTCCCGTCGTCGAAATCGTCGCCAGCGCCGGCGGCGGCGGCGGGGCGGGGCGAGGCACAAGTACTGCGAGCACTCGCCGTCGTCGGCCAGGCACTTTTGCGAGGGCAGGGCGGGCGGAGGGTTCGCGCGCGCGCGCTCGGTCGGCGGGCCAGGGAGCCCACGGGCGGAGAACAAGGCAGCACCCCTGGGGGAGCCCAGGAGGTGTGCAGCAACCCTCGGCCGATCCGTCGTCCTCTTCCTTCGCCTTCTTGCCTCTTGGTTTTTGTTCGCCCTCTCCCCGCAGATGACGGGGGGAAGGTTCGAGGGCATCGACGCTTCGACGCGAACCTGTCCGCAGTCCTGATGAGTCCTGAGGAGGAGTCCCAGGACGGAGCAGAAGGGGAGGCAGGAGGCTGAACACGGAGAGGAGGACGACGACGACGACGACGACCACGGCGGCGGCGGTGGCGGCGGCGGCGATGGCGACGGCGCTGGCGACCAGGACGACGACGACGACGACGACGACCACGACTCCGATGGAAGGCGGGCGGGGACACGGATCGGCGTCCCCATTCACAACCTTCCGCGTCCTTGTAATAATGATCAGGGTCGTCATCAGCACCAGCACCAGCACCATCATCATCATCATCACCACCACCACCACCATCATCACCATCACCATCACCATCACCATCATCACCATCACCATCACCATCACCATCACCATCACCATCATCATCATCATCATCATCATCATCATCATCATCATCATCATAGGTGTCATCAAAACCGTCATCATAATCAGCATCAGCACAATCATCATTAGGATCCTCATCAACATCATCCCCATCATAATCACATCATCAGAATCACCATCGACGTCAACACGATCATCATCCTCAACATCACCATCTTCATCATCATCATCATCATCACAATCAACACTATCGTTGTCGTCATCATCACCATCATCATCAACATAAACATCATGACCACCATCATCATCGTGATCAACGTCATCCTCATCCTCATCCTCATCATCACCATCATCAACCTCATCATCAATATCATCAATATCAACAACATCATCATGACCATCCGTGCCATTACATTCATGTCCATATTCGTCACCAATATTAATTAACTGCTCGTTTCGTCAGCCCGCATCGTCATCGGCAACACTTTCACCATCGCCGTCATCAAGTTCACTATCTGATGTCACCGTGAATGCCATCGCTGTATGAATGATCAACATCACTCTCATAATCAGCCTCATGCCCGTCACCGTAATGACCAAGATCTTCGTCAGTGTCGTCATCGTTATCACAGCCATCGTCAGTGTTATATCGCGAACCACCCTTGAATACTCTCTAGAGAACAAGCACTGCGGATCTCTGGGCGCTCTCGCCTCGGCGTCGGCTGCACGTCCTATGAAAACGGAGCTCCCGGTCGAGCGCAGGCGTGGGTCCCAATCGTAAGCCAAACTACGACGACAACGATTCCCGCTCGCTACTTCCTCATACCTTCCACGCGAGACGCACTTGCGGGAATGGCGCCCTCTCCCGAGGCACCCTTGCAATTCACTTACGTTGGCAATGGCCCAACTACGACAACAGTGGCTCCCTCTCGACAGCTCCTCCCGATGTACATCAAACGCCACTGTCAAAGAGGCATCCCAGACTCATGAATGGCGCTCTCGCCCGGGACTCCGTCACAAATCCAGAAGGTCGGCGAAGGCTCAACTACAACGACCATGGCTCCCACTCAGTTCTTCCTCACCGTTTACTCTGACACGCACTAGCCAGAGAGGCCCCCGAACTCAAGAATGGCGAACACCAACCTGCGACGGCAAAGGCTCCCGCCCGACACCTTTTCGCGAAATACTCCGAGACATCCTGGCCAAAAAGGCCTCCGACCTCAGAAATGGCGCTCTCACCCGAGACCCCGTAGTTCCTGGCAAAGGCCCAACTACGACGACAACGGCTCCCGCTCGAACCTTCCTCACAATTTCCTCCGACACGCCCTTGCCAGAGAGGCCCCCAAACTCAGACATGGCGCTCGCGCCTCAGACTTCCTCGCAACTGCTTAAATCAACGTGGCGGAAGCCAAGCTTCGACGGCAACGACTCCCGCCCGACACCTGTTCGCGAAACACTCCGAGACGTCCTGGCCAGAAAAGCATCCGACCTAGTGAATGGCGCTTTCACCCGAGACGTCCTCGCAATTCGGTAGACTCAGAGGTCCAACTATGACAACAATGGCTCCAACTCCATATTTCCTCACATACTACGTGACGCACTGGCCAGAGAGGCAAACAAACTGAGGACTGACGCTCTCGACCGAAAGCTTCTCGCAAATCAATCAAATTGGCGAAGGCGCAACTACGACGACAACGGTTCCCGCTCTTGCTCACACACGCACTGGGCAGATGCGTTCTTACACTCAAGAATGGCGCTCTCGCCCGAGGCTTTCTAGCAATTCACTTGGATTGGTGAAAGCCCCACTACGACGGCAACGGCTTCCGCTCGGCACCTTCTCCCGATTTACTCCCACGCGAACTGGCCAGGTGAGCTCTCATAATCAGGAACGGCGCTCTCGCCAGAGATTCCCGCAATTCCATCAAAGTGGCGACGGCCCAACTACGACGACAACGGCTCGCCGTCATTTCCACCAAGATCAACCCAATCGGAACCGCCATGACACTGCACAACGTCCCTACCATCGCTCATGATCACCCCCCCACCACCAGCACCACCACAATGATGATGATCATCATCATCAGCATCATCATCATCAGCATCAGCATCATCATCAGCATCCTCATCATCATCAGCATCAGCCTCATCATCATCAGCATCAGCATCATCATCATCATCTGCATCAGCATCATCATCAGCATCAGCATCAGCATCAGCATCAGCCTCATCATCATCAGCATCAGCATCATCATCAGCATCATCGTCATCGACATCGTCATCGTCATCATCATCATCAGCATCATCATCATCACCTCATCATCGTCATCGTCATCGTCATGATCAGCATCACCACCACTAGCACCACCAACAACACCACCACCCATCAACATAATCATTAACACCACCATCATCAGCATCATCAGCATCATAATCGACAGCATCAACATTATCATCACCACCAACAGCATCAGCATCATCATCGGCATCAACATAAACATCATCAGCAGTATCATCAGTATCTTCAGCATCATCATCAGCAGCATCATCAGCAGCATCATCATCAGCATCAGCATCAGCATCATTATCATCATCCTTCTCATCATCACCATGCATGTTACCTTGCGAAGACCTGCAGCATAGACCGTTGACTCTGGGCTATCCTCCTCCTCCTCCTCCTCTCCCTCCTCCCCTCCCCCGGAGGTTCCTCGAGGTCCCCGGAAACCTGACCAGCGGAGGTCCCCCGAAGCTTCCAAAGGCCCAAGAAGAGCCAAAAACGTCCGAATGTCTTGATCCTCGAGGCTTGGACCTCCTCCTTTCGGGGTGAACGAAACGGGGAGTTCATACAGGAGCGGGGTAGCATCACCTGTAAGCAGCAATTTGTCTTGCGTCTGGAGGCACCCGCTGAAGTGACCATGGATCGAACGTTCCCAGCGCGGCGATCCGAAACCAGCTGTATGTTGCAGATTTCGACACCCATTTGCCAAACCCCGTCCCCCCATTCGCCCACCCCGATCCTTGCCCAACCGCTGCCTACCCTCTCTGCTTCTTCGCCCCCCTGTTGAGGGTGCTCGAGATCAGCGACGCCAGGGGGGACTCCAGCCAGGGGCAGACGTTGCCGGCGCGCCTTCTGGGAGCACTCCGACGAGGGCGCCTTGATGTTCTGGCAAATGTCCTTTGCGGCAGTGGCTCAGATCGTCGCAACTGCGGCCGTCGCCGTCGTGGCTGTCGTCGTCGCCGACGTCCCAGTTTTCCTCGTGGTCGTGCTCGTGGTCGCAGTCGTGGTCGCGTTCGTGGTCGTGGTCATGGTCGTGGTCGTGGTCGTGGTCGTGGTCGCGGTTGTGGTCGTGGTCGCCGTCAGCGTCGTCGTCGTCGAAGCCGTCGTGGTCGTCGTCGTCGTCGCCGTCGCCGTCGACGTCGCCGTCGCCGTCGCCGTTGCCGTCACGGCCGCCGCCGCTAAAGGAAGCTGAAGGCCACTACCGGAGCTCGGCCTAGTAGGAGACAAGAACCGCGGGCGGCACGGGGGTCTGCGGGCGGGTTGGCGGAAGATGGCGCCGTCGCTTATGGGAGGATACTGGCCCGACATTCCTTTTTTTTTCAATCAAAAAGCGACACACCACCACCACCGGGCCAGCTCAGCCCAATTTTGGACACAGAAATGGTCTATGCACGTGCCTCCACTGCCAGCAAGCGCCAATGCAAGGAGACCATCCCGAACCATGTTATTTCCACACCAGGACACAGAAATGGTCTATGCACGTGCCTCCACTGCCAGCAAGCGCCAATGCAAGGATACCACCCCCAACCATGTTATTTCCACACCAAAGATTGCGCTAACACTACACAAATGACTGGCCCGCCCCCATTCTCGACACAAATTAGATGCCAAAAATGCACTACGTATTGTCGTCGCTGCCGTGGTGCAGTCCTCGGTTGCTCTCACAGGGGTAGGCAACGAATCAGCGATCGACTACTGCCAAAATTGCTGTATGTACACGTGGCCGCCCGAGCACAAATCCGCGGGGCATCAGGCACGCCATGAGCTCCAGCGGAAAATGTAACCATGCGAACGACACCGATGCGCAGCCAAAGGTTGAAGAAAGCGAGTCGACGCCAATGCGACGTACTGCATAATTCACGCTGCGCGATGCGCCCAACATCCTAGCTCTACATGCAAAACCAGTTCACAACGTATGGAAGCATCCATACCAGCGCGTGTCGCAGTTCGTGTGCAGGCGTTGGCCAAGCGAGAGCGCCTTTCAGCGCAATATGCCTTGCTGCGGCACACGAAACGCGCGCGCTACACCCAGAAATCATGTGTCCTGGGTTCGATACACACATTCTGGGTGGCCCGTTCCCCAACGAACGGGGCACTTGGCAGTGGCATCTTGGACAATAAACGACTACGACCCCAGCAACGTGCAAAAAGCAACCTTATCCATGTCCGGACACAGGTCACGGCTGTATCTCTTGCCAAGCACTCTTCTTCGACACACAAGGCCTGCATTCGTCTAGAACTTGAGCGCCCGCGAAGCGCACGATGCTTCCAACAAGTGTGTCTGTGTATATATATATATAGTGCACACACCGTGTTCGACATCCCCCGCACTCATCATTTTGCTCCTGCAACCTGCTGCTCCTCCTCCTCCTTCCCCTCCTCCACCCACTACTGCCCGACATCAGCATCATCATGATCAGCATCAGCAATAGCAGCAACACAATGACCATGACCACCATCAGCCGTCCTCCTCAACGTCTCCTACTCCTGTTAATCCTCGACCACACACCAACAAGTCGGCATCGCAGACGCCCTTTCGCAACAATCCCAGCGAACTTGGCTCGGATCGGTACCTACACACGACCTACTCCCGTTTGGTCTGAACTTCCACAAACCAGCCAGCATTCCTGATCACTTCCTCCTCCTGACTGGGTATCCCAGGGCAGCAAAGGGGGCGCAGGGGCTCGTTGCAGGTCTCCGCACAATCCAAGGCCTCGTCGGAGTCGCACATGCCAAGGTCCGGGCAAAAGCTCGCATTGCATAAGTCCCTGGGGCTCTCATGGTTTCGCATGAAGCAACTCGAGGAGCAGGGGAGGCGGCCACGCGGATGCGATAGTTCAGAACCCAGAGCTACGCAATGCAAGCCTGGAATTGAGTACCGGCCACACTGCGGTAGGCGAGCCCATGCCCTGTCGTGTAGGCAGAAAGACAGCGAACTGGCATGCGGTTTTGCGCATGTGCTCCAAGCTAAGCCCGCCAGCGCAAGAGCGGTACGATAGACAGTCTGAAAAAGCATGTCCACACGCTCCTTGATAGAAACAGCCTCGAAGGATGTGCAAATTGGGAACACAAAGTGTCGTTTTCAAGCGCCTTCCAACTGAATCGGACAGCATGGCAAACTCGCGACGGCGACACTCGAGATGGAGAAACCGGTCGCGCGAGTCACTCGAGTCACTCGAGATGGCTCAGATGGGACAGATGAGGAGAAGGCGGAGGACGAAGACAATGAAAAGGACGAGGCGGCCAGCGCTGGCCACTCGGCTACGCGTTCTACGTTCGAAGCGGACACGCTGACGGCCAAGAGACGACTCTAAGACCTTCTTCCCGCAACAGGCGCCACCTCCTCCAAGGAACGGGCCCATGGCCCCCCCCGGAGCCAGGACTCCCAAAGACCCCCAAAACCTCATCGATCATCGATCCTCCTCCGCCTCCTCCTCCTCGACCTTCGATTTCCAGGAGCGGGCGGTGACCATCTCCTGCTGGCGACCCCCTTGGCACTGCTGGCGACCCCCGAGAGGGTCCCGTTAGATGGAACGCCCCCCTTCCAACTCTGAGATGCGACGTCACGAACAAACAAACAACACAATGCAAACTCACGACCAAAGACCCAAATCCCATCATTATGAAAACTGTTCGAAACACGCAAAAATCGCGAGGGGGCTGCCCTTGGGAGAAAAACACCGTGAGAGGCGTACGCGGCAGCCGTGACAAGACGCCACAGCCGTGCCACGCCGCAGGCGTCGCCTACCGCAGCCTCCCCAAAACGCAGCGACGCGGGCATGCGCGCTGCGGCACGTCCCTGGACGTGGGCGGGCGGGGAGGTGGAGCGACACAGGTAAGCTTAGGGTAGACCAAACCAAGTTCAAGCAAGGCCTAGGAAGGCCTGGGAAGGCCTAGGTGGGCCTAGGGCAGGCCTGAGAACGCCTAGGTAGGCCCAGAGACGGCCTTCCCCCCAGGGGTAGGCCAGGGTAGACTGAGGCAGGCCTGGGGAAGGCCTAAGAAGGCCTAGGGAATGCCTGCCCCCTGGGTTCTTATAACAGGCAGAGGAAGGGGGCACGCATATTCCACGGCCCCATAGGGTGCTCCACCCAATACCCCAGTGGCAGGGTCCGCATTCAGTTCCACTTGATTTCGGCGCACTCCTCACACGTTTCGTGGCCCCATAAGGCGATCCACCGAAGGCCCCCTGGGCAGGGTCCGCATGCAGTTCCACCATGCATTTCGGCGCACCCCGTCAACGAACGTTACGTGGCCCCCAAAGGCCCTAGTGGCAGCGCCCGGACGTGGTTCCACCCTGCATTTCGGCGCACCCCTCACACGTTTCGTGGCCTCAGATGGGGCTGCACAGACGGCTCCGGTGGCAGCATCCGCATGGCGCACCCGTGCAAATTTTGGCACACGCGTCACACACGTCGTGGCCCCAGAGAGAGGTTCACCGAGGACGATACCCACAACTGCGTTACACACAGCTGCACGTGGTTGGGTCCTTCGTCTGGATAATTTTCTCATTGTTTCTCCCAGCCATCCTGTGGTTTTGCATCCTCGTTTTGAAGAAACGGACCCCGCGTTCCTCCTTCATTCTTTCCTCCTCCTCCATCCTCCTCCTCCTCCCTCCTCCCATCCTTTGCCTCTGCTCTCCGCATGTCCACAATTTCGACACTCCCCTCACATGTTTCGTGGCCCAACAAAGAGCTCCACCGAAGCCCCCAAGGGGACCGCCCACATCCGTCAGCCACCACCCAGCACAACGCTTCGCGGCCCCATAGGGGGCTCCACCGAAGGCCCCAGTGGCACCGCCCGCACGCGTCAGCCACCACCCAGTACAGTGCTCCGTGGCCCCATAAGGAGTTCTACTGAAGCCCCCAGTGCGACCGCCCGCATGCGTCAGACACCACCAGCACAGCGCTTCGTGGCCCCATAAGTGGCTCCACCGAAGGCCGCAGCGGCACCAATTCAGCGCTTCGTGACCCCACAGGGAGATCCACCGAAGGTCCCGGCGCGACCGCCCGCATGCGTCAACCACCACCCAGCACAGCGCCTCGTGGCCCCATAGGGGGCTCCACCGACGGCCCGAGTGGCACCGCCCGCATGCGTCAGCCACCACCCAGCACAACGCTTCGTGGCACCATAATAAGGGGGCCCGCTGGATGTCTCATTGGGGCCGCCCGCATGCGTCAGCAACCACCCAGTACAGCGTCTCGTGGCCCCACAAAAAGCTCCACCGACGGCCCCAGTGGCACCGCCCGCATGGATCAGCCACCACCCAGTACAGCGCTGCGTGGCACCATAAGGAGCTCCACCGACGGCCCCAGTGGCACCGCGACCGCCCGAATGCGTCAGCCACCACCCAACACACCTTTTCGTGGTCTCAGAAGGGCCCCACCGAAGGTCCCAGTGGGACCGCCCGCATGCGTCACTCACCACACTGCACATCGCTTCGTGGCCCCATAGGGAGCTCCATCGACGGCCCCAGTTAGCCACCACCCAGTACAGCGCTTCGTGGGCCCAGAGGGGCCCCACCGAATGCCCCAGTGGCACCGCCCGCATGCGTCAACCACCACCCAATACAGCGTTTTGTGGCCCCGTAAGGAGGAGCCCCACCGAAGGTCCCAGTGGGACCGCCCGCATGCGTCAGCCACCACCCAGCGCGCGGTTCGTGGCCCCATGGGCTCTACCGACTGCCCCAGTGGCACCGCCCGCATGCGTCAGCCACCACCCAGTGCAGCGCTTCGTGGGCCCCAGAGGGAGCTCCACCGAAAGTCCCAGTGGGACCGCCCGCATGTGTCAGCCACCACCCAGCACAGCACTTCGTGGCTCCATACGGGGCCCCACCCAAGGCACCAGTGGCACCGCCCGCATGCGTCAGCCACCACCCAGTACAGTCCATCTTGCGTCAGCCACCACCCAACGCAGCGCTTCTTGGCCCCATGCGGAGCCCCGCCCACTGCCCCAGTGGCACCGCCCGCATGCGTCAGCCACCAAACGACACAGCGTTTCGCGGCCCCGTAGGGGGCTTCACCGAAGGCCCCAGTGGCACCGCCCGCATGCGTCAGCCACCACCCAGCACAGCGCTTCGTGGCCCCATAGGGAGCTCCACCGACGGCCCCAGTGGCACCGCCCGCATGCGTCAGCCACCACCCAGTACAGCGTCTCGCGGCCCCATAGGGGGTGTCCACCGAAGGCCCCCGCGCGACCGCCCGCACGCGTCAGCCACCGCCCAACGCAACGTTTCGTGGCCCAGAAGGGGGGCTCCACCGACGGCCCCAGCGGCACCGCCCGCATGCGTCAGCCACAGCCCAGTGCAGCGTTTCGTGGCCCCGCAGGGAGCTCCACCGAGGGCCCCAGCAGGGCCGCCCGCATGCGCCAGCCACCACCCAGCACAGCGCATCGTGGCCCAAAAGGGGGCCCCACCGATGGTCAAACTGGCGCCGCCCGCATGCGGCAGCCACCACCCAGCGCAGCGCTTCGCGGCCCGATAGGGAGCTCCACCGACGGCCCCAGTGGCACCACCCGCATGCGTCAGCCACCACCCAGCACAAAGCATCGTGGCCCCATAGGGGGGTGTCCACCAAAGGCTTCAGCGCGACCGCCCGCGCGCGTCAGCCACCGCCCAGCACACGTTCCGTGGACCCAGAAGGGGACTCCACCGAATGCCCTAGTGGCACCGCCCGCATGAGTCAGCCACCGCCCAGCACAGCGCTCCGTGGCCCCACAGGGAGGCTCCACCGCGGGCCCCAGTGGGACCGCCCGCGTGCGCCAGCCACCCCCCAATACAGCGTCTCGTGGCCCCTTCGTGAGCTCCACCGAAGGCAATGGTGGCGCCGCCCGCGTGCGTCGCCCACCACCCCGCTCTGTTTTTCGCGGCCCCATCAAGTGGGAGCCCCAGCAAGCCCCATTGGCACCGCCCGCGCGCGCGCCCCCCCCCCCCCCCCCCCCCGCAGCGCGTCGTGGCCCCGTAGGGGGTTCCAGTGGTCCGCCCGCGTGCGACCCACCACCCAGCACAACGCTTCGCGGCCCCAATAGGGGGCTCCACCAGGGGGCCCAGCGGCGCAGCCCGCGCGCGCCAGCCTCCCCCCCTCCCCCCCGCCCTCTCCAGCACAGCGCTTCGTGGCCCCATAGGGAGCCCCACCGAAGGCCCCACTGACGCCGCCCGCGTGCGTCGGCCACCACCTAGCTCAGCGTTTCGTGGCCCCGTAGGGGGCTCCACAGAAAGACCCCAGTGGCACCGCCCGCATGCGCTTCCCCAAACCAGCGAAGCGCTGCGCCGCCTCATCGGGAGCTCCAGCGAGGGGCGCCGCCCGCATGCGTCAGCGCGCGCGGGGCCGCGCTGACAGGAGCGCGGCCGCCCATGCGAACGTGCCGGGCGTGAGCTATGGTGATGGACGCAATGGTGATGCTGACGGTGGTGATGATGGTGATGATGGCGGCAACTGATGGCGATGGTGCTGAGATGTGCGGGGCTGCCATAGAGGGGGGTGCGCTACCGACAAATGATGATGATCAAGATGATGATGATGATGATGCTGATGATGATGATGGCGATGATGATGATGATGCCGATGGTGGCGATGATGATGACGATGGCGGCGACGTTGGCGATGGCGGCGGCGAAGCCCCCCCCCCCGCAGAGCAAAAACAACTGCAACGGCAGCGACGTCTCGGCGCAGACGAGGGCGGGGCAGAGGGATCAGGCAGGGAGCCCACGAGCAGAGCTGCACGTTGCTGACCCCAGACCCTATGCCCAACACGACCCAGCCTCGGCCCGCAA